GTCTTAATTTGTTGCCAGAACAAATAAAATGCAAGGTATGATTAGTAACATTTCTGTATACTTTGGAAATCGAAGGATTTGAAAAACCTGTTTAAATTAAAGGAATTATATGAAATTATCAAAATTTTGAAGTATATGTTGTAAGTATTAAGAAATCGGAGTTAAATTTCGGATTATAAGAACGTACTGTGTTCAAAATGGCCAAATCCAATCATATCGCATTAATTTAAAAATAACAACTCTTTTTCAAAAGTTAAAAATTCAACATCTAATGCATCAGTTGGAAGGTTCAATGACCACCAGATCCAAAATCCGGGTCTATAAGTGGGAAAAATATTTCGTAGTAATGAACTGAGAAAAACTGTTCCACCTATATTTCCGGAGCCAATTGGCCCCAAATTTCGGATGTCTAAAAGTGGATTTTTTCCAAGTTATTGTGTACAAAATATTTTATTATAAGTATTTATTCAAACAGGTAAAATTATATATATATTTTTAAATTCCTTTATAATATATAATATATATATATATATATATATATATATCTTATATAAATATTATATATATATATATATATGTATATATTATATAGTCTATATATATCTCTACTAGTTCTATAGTCTATTATCTCTTATATGTATCTCTATCTCTGTTCTTTCTCTCTCTATTGTCTATCTTTCTTCTCTATCTATCTTCTCTCTCTCTCTCTCTCTCTCTTATATCTATCCTACATCTATCTATATCTCCCTCTATTCTCTATATATATATCTCTATATGTATATATATTAGGCTCTCACGCAATACTTTGAAAGTTGTATGATATCATACCTTTCATGACAGTTTTTGGAACAGCGCTAATATTGGCGTAATTATTTTGTTAAAATTTCAACTCCTTTATCTGCATATCTGCGGCCTAAATACCGATTTTGGGCGACATTTTTTATAGTCCGAAAACTGCTGTACATATTTCAAATCTGACTTTAGTATACTATTCTAGAGGAAAATTTAAGATATATAAGATATATAATTTGACAGAATTTTGATGCACTATAAATGCATAAGAGCAAAAGAAAAAATTTTTTTGAAATATTTTTTGAAAAAAAGTGCATTTTTGGATAATACTAAATGCACTTTTGAAGCGTTATAAAAGTGTGAAATTAAGGTCATTCTTATTGATTTTTCCTATAAAATCAATTATTAGAGCATGATTTCCTATAAATTCTACAGTTTCTGCTCTGTAAAAAATGTCGCTCAAAATCAGTGGTTTCCGGCTCAGATATGCAGAGGAAGGAGTTGAAATTTTGAAAAAATTATTACAGCATAGTAATCACTGAAACAAAAACCTTCTAAAAAGTTGTAACGAAGCCTAATATATATATATATATATATATATATATATATATATATATATATATATATATATATATACATATACTTATATATACTTATATATTGCTTTATTCTTAAAGAAACTTGCTTAATTTCTTAAAGAAACTTTAATTAAAAACACAATAAAAATCATAAATTTACTGTTACTTCAAATGTTCACTTTTTTTCAGCAAATATTGCGTACTTGGAAGCTAAAAGTTAAGAGAATAAAGAGCAAAAACGGTAGCAACTGAACCTCAGTTAAGTTGTCAGTTGCCAAAATAAAATTACAGAGTGCAACCGGCAGCTGCAAATTTCAGTTAACAAATTGGCAACTAGAAATTTGTAGTTACTGAAATTTTTTTTAAAGCAATTGTGTGGAATTTTGTAAAAAAAAATATTTTATTGTTAAATAATGTTGATCAATGGATCCGTTTCATTTTTATTGGAGCCGTGTAATTTTTAATGGGTCTGTACCATTTTTTGGCGTGTCCGGAAACTTTTCATATTGAATGACCATGATTTTAAAAACTCTTTAAAAACAAAATTTTCGAATTTATTGTATAATTTTTTTTTTTCACAAATTTAACTTTTATTTAAAATTTTATCCATATTTTTTATTGTTTTACATTTTAAGTTGCTAGTCTATCAAAATAACCATAGATGGCACAATATCGATAACTTTTTGGCAACTAACGAAAGTTGCCGTTCATAATACCAAGTTTTATGTCAGTTGCGTTGACAGCTGGCAACTCAACTGAAGTTTGGTTGCAATCCATAATCAACCCATAAAAATAAGTACATAATTTAAAATAAGGAGCTTAGGATGAAATTTTTCACAATTCGTACAATTCGAAAATATTTTGGTCGATTTTGCCAGACATACGTTCGGCAAGAACGCTATTTACTAAATAAATTAATGAAATTCGACCAAAAGATTCACTATTGTCCTAGGCAGTTTGGTATTGAAAATGAGCAAAATCGGTTCACATCGGGAAAAGTTATGATTCAAAATTTAAAACAACTCCGAAAAAAATAATCATTTTTTACACATTCTGATGTAATCTTCTCGAAAACTATGCAAGATAGTTCCATGAAAATCATCATACATTTGTTTCTACCCAAGAGCTTGATTCCTGCTGAAAATTGCCGGAATCGGTCCACAATTTCATATACCTCCCATACAAAAGTACATATTCCCGGAAAATTAGTATTTTGTTAATAACTTCCGTCAGAATGTTGATATCTTCACAAAACCTTACAAATTAAAATCTTATGTCAACGGAATTCATTTAGAGAAAAAATTTTCTGCATCTGTCCATAATTGGACATAGATCCCATACAAGGTCCCCTCCCGAAAATTAATGAACGCACATAATTTATTACTAAATTAAGATATCCATATAAAATTTGGTACAAGTATTGCTCTCACATACAGAAACATTACTGTGAACATTGGCCATAGCTCCCATACAAGGTTCCCTTCAGAAAATCACTTAAACACATATTACTTATTACTAAATTACGATATAGATACAAAATTTGACTGAAATATAGCTTTTATGTACAGAAATTTAGCTTAAAGAATTTTTTACGATCGGCCTATAATTGGTCATATCTCCCATATTAGGTCCTGCCCCTAAAAGCACTTCAACCGCATTATATATATATGTATTTTGAAAATCCTTAAATCTTTCGTCTTTCTTTATTAAATATCGCTAAAGCATATCTTAAATCTTGGAATTGTAACAGATTTAAATCTTGGGGTTTTTCTATTTAAGACATGAGAAAACTTATTTCTGCAAATATTTGATCAATTAAAAAATTATTATTATAAAAGTATCTGGTGGAGGGTATTTAAGATTCGGCTCAGCCGAATATAGCACTCTAACTTGTTTTTGTTTCAAAAATAAAAAATTTTAAATTAATTCCAATATTTTAATTGATCTGAATCTTATATAAACCTATCACAAATTTATCTGTACATAATAAGTTTTCAATGTAAAAAAAAAAAGTATTTTTATAGTTTTGGCCAAAAAACATGATAAGCCAGACCTCGGCTTTCCTATTCGTCCCTATAATTTTCACATAAGAGTATAAAAAAGTACGTAGAAAAAGTATTTCACTTTTTCCCGAGCGTTAGAAATCTTATCTTATATAAATCTTATATAAACCTATCACAAATTTATCTGTACATAATAAGTTTTCAATGTAAAAAAAAAAGTATTTTTATAGTTTTGGCCAAAAAACATGATAAGCCAGACCTCGGCTTTCCTATTCGTCCCTATAATTTTCACATAAGAGTATAAAAAAGTACGTAGAAAAAGTATGTCACTTTTTCCCGAGCGTTAGAAAAGTTTCCGCGGAAATGGTTTAAAGTTTTCGATATCCATGTAAAATTGTTTGTGAAAGTTTTCAGAAAATCGATTTATCGCGGGAGGTTTTTGCACCAAAATGACCTGAGAAAAAAGTTTTCGTTATTAGAAATCTTAAAAAAATCCTTAAATCTTTCATCTTTCTTTATTAAATATCGCTAAAGCATATCTTAAATCTTGGAATTGTAATAGATTAAAGCTGTTTAAATCTTGGGGTTTTTCTATTTAAGACATGAGAAAACTTATTTCTGCAAATATTTGATCAATTAAAAAAGTATTATCATAAAAGTATCTGGTGGAGGGTATTTAAGATTCGGCTCAGCCGAATATAGCACTCTAACTTGTTTTTGTTTCAAAAATAAAAAATTTTAAATTACTTCCAATACCTTAATTGATCTGAATCTTATATAAACCTATCACAAATTTATCTGTACATAATAAGTTTTCAATGTAAAAAAAAGTATTTTTATAGTTTTGGCCAAAAAAACATGATAAGCCAGACCTCGGCTTTCCTATTCGTCCCTATAATTTTCACATAAGAGTATAAAAAAGTACGTTGAAAAAGTATGTCACTTTTTCCCGAGCGTTAAAAAAGTTTCCGCGGAAATGGTTTAAAGTTTTCGATATCCATGTAAAATTGTTTGTGAAAGTTTTCAGAAAATCGATTTGTCGCGGGAGGTTTTTGCACCAAAATGACCTGAGAAAAAAGTTTTCGTTATTAGAAATCTACTGGGTACCACGTAGTAATAGGGCCTTATTTTAACCCTACTGTACAATCATGGCGACTTATAAGTTTGTGGTTATATGTGAATAGTTATCTCAACGAAATGCATCAGTTCTTCACTGCGCTTAACCTGCAACTACCACCAGTTAAGCCGTCAGCAACACTCTTTACCACCTGGAGGAGCCATCCCAACTTTAACAACACACAGTTGTATACTCCACCGAGGCATATCAGAAAGGAACTTCGTATATACGAGGAGAACATACGCAGTTATGTGCATGAACCAATAGATCAGACCTCGTACATGGCAGCTTTAAACGATATTCATAGAGACGCATCAATTCCGCAGTCGCAGGATACCGCATAAATGTCGTACTTGGAGGTCGCCCACCACCCTTATCAGACACTTTCTTATCAAAAATTTGTTCCAAATAAGTTTAGATTTTTCAATCTTTGGGAAAAAATATTTTTTTTTTTTTTTGTAAAATTAAAATTAATTTGATTTTTTTCCAAAACGGACCTATTTTCTTTTATTTTTTTTTTTTTTGCTCCAGATCGGAAGACATCGTTTTTAAAAGTTATGTATTACTTATACAAAATATGTCATATTAATTACAATATTTATTTAACTTAAATAGTAAAAGTAATATTATTCAGTTAGAACTTGATTTTTTACCATTTGAAGTTTTTATATTATTCAATAAATGAGGTTTAGGGGCACATCCTTCCATATAAAGTTGTAACGTCTCGGCATCCATTTTATTATTTTCTTTAGGTGGTTTGTAATCGGCAACATGATCCACTCGAAGAGTTCGTCCCAAAACCTTTAAATTACAAAAAAAAAAAATAATAATAATATACATAGGACCAGAAGCAAAAAAATGAGCAATCTGGGGAATTTTACATAGTTACATGAAAATTGGCACATAGCTTCTCTTCATAATAATTAGTAAGGGATTAAAAGTCACCGAAAATATCGTGTGCGTTAAGCGAGATATTAGAGGTGAAAGGTTACAAAAATCTGTTTTTTGGTGAATATCTTGCTTAATATGCGTCGTACGCATTTTAATATAATTATAGCGTACGTGTGATGTATGTTGGTTTTACTACTTTGCGTATTTTGTTGGTTTTTTATGTTTTGTTTCTTTTGGCGTAAGTTGTTGTTGTCGAGTTGGAAAAAATTTTAATTTTATTAAATTAACCTTATTTTAAACACATTATGGTAAAGGGTATATGATCAAATATCAAAGTATATACATAAGACTTCCAGCCTAAAATTGCAAAATTGTAAAACTCTAGGTCTTCATTTCTAAATGTAATCGGTTTTGGAAGTTTACAAATTTAAAAAAAAACGTGTGTCAATAAATAATTTTTTCACCTTCTTCTTATTTTTTGGTCCATAGCTTTGAACTTTTGGACAATATTTCTTATTGTACTGACTATAGACACTTAGGTAGGTAGGTAGGTTGATAGGATTATGTATACTACATCAAATCCGAAGAAATACACCTAAAAAAAGGAACTGAATGAATTATTTTTCAGTGATTCATAAACTCAGTTTCCTGAACATAATTCCTAAGAATCTTCCAATCAGTGTTAGTCAGGAATGTTATTTCCGGAATAACATCACTTCCAAGATACTTGGATCTAACTTCGATGAATGCCTGGCAGTGGCAAATAAAGTGCTCCAGAGTTTCACTGTCCTCCACATGCTTTACATTCGTCTGAATCCGCTCGTCCAATTTTGTGCTGGGTGTCCACTCAGAATACGTAACATTATACTAACTTCAGACTTGCTCATTTTGAGGAGATTTTTCGTCATGCTCTCATCAGGCTCACCCCATAGGATCTTCGTGATTCTACCCACTGTTTCATTATTCCAAGAGGCCTTATGGGATTCTCTTACCCATATTTTTAGTTCAGCTTGTTGCGTCGAATGGTCAGGTTAACTGCCTCGAGCTCCCTTCCCTTTAAAGCTATTACATTCGCCCTTTCGTTACCGACTACTCCCGAGTGGGCTGGCACCCATATGATGTGAACCATACCTCTGGGAGAGTATTCAGTTAAAGCTTTCTTACAATCCAATACGATCGTAGATTTAGTTCTATCGCCTGTTACCGCCCTAATTGCCTTCTGGCTATCGGTAAATATATTAAGCGCTGTGGGCGCCATATTTATTCAAATCCAATTTACGCATTCCGTTATTGCTCGTACTTCTGCCTGGAAGCTTGGCAAATGGTGGTATATTTCTGTTTCTGGGTCTTCAATATAGAAACCCAGCCCCACTTTGTCCCCCAATTTAGAGCCATCCGTGTAACAACGGATTCCTACTGGTATTTGCTCTAATGTTCCGCTTGACCAAGACATTCTATCTGGGATCAGCGTTTCAAAGTTTCCGACATATTCTGTGTCTGGTATACGATCAGGCACGTCCGATGATTATGTATAAACTTCCAATGTGTCCAGTATACATTGATGACGTGTCCTATAACCGCTTTTGGCCAGTTCGCCTAAAGTAAAGAGCCGTTCGGCTGTAAGTGCCGCCTCATGTTTCAATGGGTGGAATATCTAGCAACGTTTCCAGAGCCTTGGTTGAAGTAGTAAACATGGCACTACTTATACCCAAGCAGCATGTACGCTGAACTCCCTGTAGTAGTTTGATATTGCACTTTTTGTCTAAAGCAGTCCACCAGATTATTGAAGCATAAGCTAGGATTGGTCTAATTACACTTTTATAAAGCCAATTTGTCATATTAGGACTAAGACCCCATTTCATGCCTATAGTTCTCCTACATATCGCCCAGCACCGGTGTGCCTTGTTGATCCTATCCTATATGTGGTGTCTCCATTTTAATTTCCGGTCGAGGATTACACCTAAGTACTTAACTTTGTCTGTCACTGGTATCTTCTTGCCCAGGAAGCAAGGTTCAGTATACGTAGAAATTTTTGTCTTTCTTGTAAAACGGCAGATTTCCGTTTATGCCGGGTTAAAATTGAGGCCTCTTGGTTGAGCCCAACTCAAGGCCGTATTCAGAGCCTCCTCAGTGGGTATATGTGAATTTAAAGCATGCAGTGAATATCTGAGACAGATGTACGGAAACCAGTCCCGCCTTCATCTGTAAGAGTGCCGGGAAAATGCCATCCGGCCCTGCAGCTTTATAGGGAGCGAAGGTCTTGATTGCCCCTTTAACCATATGTAATTACAATTTCCGTGTTAGCCTCCCCTTCCTCCAATTTTGGTTCATCTATGTTATTCGATATACCGGGTGGAAAATGAGAGTCCATTGTCTCCTCCATATCATCCAGCCGCCTGCCCGTATCATCGACCATAGATTCCGGTTGGACATGAGTTTTGGATAGGAATTTTTTATCTTCGATACGTCATTTACGCTGTCTACCTGTTCACAGAAAAGTTTCCAGGAGTCTCGTTTGGCTTTACGAAAAATTTTCTTATTTTCACCGATACGATACTCATCCCAGTATACTGCGGTCTTTTTACGCCGTGCCCGGTTAAATAATTTGCGAAGAGTCTTACCAAGGTTCCGGAACTCCCCGGTTACCCAGTGTTTCTCCTGGGCATATCTCCGCTCTCGCAGAGGGCAGCTGTCCACGAACCATTCAACCAAGGAACTAGTGAACATTTCTAGTTTGACGTCTATGTCTTCTTTATTTCGACATTGAAAAGTGTCCTGACATAAACGGTTCTTTAGTTAGGAACCGAACATTGTCCAATTAGTTTTAGACTTATTCCGAAACTTTATCGGCTTTGGTGGCGGCCATAGTATTTTGAATCTTATGTACCGATGGTCAGAAAAGGAGTGCTCGTCCGAAACTCTCCAATCCTATATTTCGTTTATAAGCTCTTCTGAACATATAGTTATATCTAATACTTCTTCTCTGATTCTATTGACGAAGGTAGTTTTATTACCTAAGTTCGATGTGATCAAGTCTTTAGTATTAAGGAAATCCATAAGGGCTTGTCCCCTGCCATTGGCATGCTGTACACTTGACGCATTGTCCGCCACGGAGGCCAAGGTACCCACCTCCGCAGTAGTATTTTGCTCACGATTGCAGGATGATGACGACACGTGACTCGCGAGTGTATCAACACTTGCCGCCGGTACTGGGTTATTTAGGCCCTGCACCGTAACTTTCATCTTTTTATTTTCCATGTTTTTTTCCAGTTTTTTGGTCCGCGGGGAATATAATATTCCCAGGTGGTGGACAATGTGCCCTCCCTCAGCTTGAGTCAACTAAAACTAGTAGAGGACAGATGGTCCATCGCCACCCCCTATCCGCCACCCGGAGACCCGCTCGGTAGGAAAAACGGGAAAACTCCCCCGACACTTAGGAGACAAAGTCTTTATAAGCTTATCCGTGTGACATCGCTTTACGTACCAGAACTTGTTTGTTACCAGGTTTTTTTCAATTTTGATTTTTTTTTAAGTTTTTTTGACTGCACTCTGACGCCCCTTAATAAAATACTGAAATTGAGAAAACAGTGGTTAGCTGATGTAATTACACACAGTATGGTAATAATAGTAGATCGGTACAACAGCCACAAAAGTTAGAAAACTTTAACGTAATTTTTTATACCCTACACCACTCTAGTGGGGAGGGTATAGTGGGTTTGTGCTGATGTTTGTAACATACAAAAATATTCGTCACAAAAGTTAGAAAACTTTTACGTAATTTTTATACCCTACACCACTTTAGTGGGGAGGGTATAGTGGGTTTGTGCTGATGTTTGTAACATACAAAAATATTCGTCCTATACCCACCTTAAAGTATACCAATCGGCTTAGAATCGTTTTCTGAGTCTATTAAGCTATGTCTGCCTGTCCGTCTGCCTGGCTGGTGGGTGTCCATGTAAACCTTGTGCGCAAGGTACAGGTCGCAATTTTAAAGATAATTAGATGAAATTTGGCACACACTCTTTTTTTGGACGAAGCCTATTGAAAATGGTTAAAATCGGTCCATTATTTTACCTAGCCCCCATACAACAGAACCCCCCGAAAAGGGCTTCTGAGCTCATTATATTAAAAATACCTGTATATTGATAAAAAGCGGCACAACTAAGTTTTATTAGAGCCTTGATGACCTTGCCAAATTTCATAGAGATCGGGACTAATTTGACCCCAGCTCTCATACAAAGTCCCCTTCAGAAAATTACTTGAATGTCCAAAATTAACTTATAAACACAAATATCGCGATGAAATTCAGCACAATAAAACATTATGTAAATATAAATATATTCACAAATTTGCTAGGGGCAAATTTGGTCCATATTTGCCCCCATATAAAGCCTCTTTCAGAAAATTAGTTTTTCATCCATAAATTGCTTAAATGTATCGGAACTTATTATGAAAAATAAATCACATTTAATATTCATAACTAGTGTAGGGTATCATATGGTCGGTCACGCCCGACTATACTTTCTTACTTCTTTAAAATTGGTCCATATTTGCCCCCATATAAAGCCTCTTTCAGAAAATTAGTTTTTCATCCATAAATTGCTTAAATGTATCGAAACAAGGTAATAGAAGATAAATGCTTATTATGAAAAATAAATCACATTTAATATTCATAACTGGTGTAGGGTATCATATGGTCGGTCACGCCCGACTATACTTTCTTACTTGTTTAAAATATCAGTTTTTGGAGCGGCACATTCGCACTTATTAAAGGAAATAATTTGAATTATTGGGTAAATTGAGTTTTTTTTATTTTGAAATATAAAATTGGAGGAACCTGCAAAAATATTCGAATGCGAAAATTTTATAAATTTTTTAAAAATGTTGCAAAATTTAATTTTTTTATTTTT